GCATCCCCCCCCCCCCCCCCCCCGTTTTCACATGTGTGCATGTCTTGCTGACTGAGTGAGTGTGTATGTGTGTGTTGGCGCGCGCGTGCGCGCGCCAACACACACACACACACACACACACTCAGGAGGACGCAGGGTCCTATCAGGAATCACCCCCATCGTGCTTCCAATTTGTTCACTGAGGCAAGACCTCGCAATCAAATGTCAAGCTGGCTGACAGGGCTGGTCTGGCTATCCAGCTTCTCTGGGATCCAGCCTCTGCCTTCCTGAGGCTGAATACAAGCAGGCCGCCATGCCTGCCTGCCATTTCATGGGCTCTGGGGATGCAAACTGGTCCTCATGCTTACACAGCAAGTGTTTTAACCACTGAGACATCACCCAGCCCACCGTTCCTTTATTCATTCATCCGCAGACACCGAGGTTCTTCCCATTCTTGGTTGTGTGAGCTATACTTCCAAGAATTAGGTTGTACAAGTAAGTACCTACCTAAGATGCAAAATCCAGGCTGAGAGCAGAACATGAACCTAGCACTCGCCCCTAGCATGGATACTCTCTCTCTAGGATCCATCTCTGCACCGGGGATAAACAAATCAACTGGATCCATTCTTACCGACAGGCTATACTGTCTCTGAGCTCGGATGGGTGAGGAATCCACGCAGGCATGTTCCGTCGCTCACTACCTCCCTGAACTCTTCAGCACCTACCAATGGATGCCCAGAGTCCACAGCTCAGGCTCCACCCTCTAAGGCTCACAGTTCAGTGTAGGGGACACCCCTGCCTTCAACAGTGACCGCCTTATATACAGGGCACTGTTGACATGAGGAGTCCAAGGGAATGCCTGGCCCAGGAAAGGGCCAGTCTGGGCCTTCCAGAGGGAGGTGTGCTTGTATCTCACCTGTGTACTAACAGGGGATTGTATTTCTTTTTCTTTTTTCCTTTGGGACAGTCTTATTATGTACCCCTGGCTGGCCTGAAGCTTTCTACAAAAATCAGGCTGGGGCTGGAGAGATGGCTCAGAGGTTAAGAGCACCAACTGCTCTCCCAGAGGTCCTGAGTTCAATTCCCAGCAACCACATGGTGGCTCACAACCATCCGTTATGAGATCTGGTGCCCTCTTCTGGTGTGCAGATATACATGGAAGCAGAATGTTGTACACACATTAAAAAAAAAAAAAAAAAAAAAGAAAGAAAGAAAAAGAAAATTCAAGAGCCCCTAACAAAGTTAAAAAAAAAAAAAAGATCATCAGGCTGGCCTCAAACTCACAGATTCAACTGCCTCTGCCTCCTAAATGCAAGGATTAAAAGTATGTACCGCCATGTCCTGTAGACTGCATTTCTTTATCCAAACTACTGGACTGATTAAAGAGGCATGGAGGCATACACTTGCAATCCCAGCACCTAGGAGGCTGAGGCAGGAGGAATGCAAGTTGGATGGTGGCCTGGGTCACAGTAAAATCGAAGCCAGTCTGTGCAATTGAGCAAGATCTAATCTCAAAAAAAAAAAAAGAAAGAAAGTTGCCAAGAATAGAAACAACAACAGAAAAGTCATAAAACCTGAAGAAAAGCAGTGACTAAGAATGATCAGTCACCAAGAATTATCACTGACAATAAACTCACTCAAGCAGCCACAGCCCACCCTGGTTTCCCTACCCCCGCCAGCCACCAGCAGTGGCCTGGCCATCTCTGGAAGCCAGGCTCCACACATCTGCAGGCAGATCACATTCTGGCCAGGACACTAGCTGCTTGTGGTTCACATCACAAAGAGCCTCACAGACACTTGTTGTCAAGTTCTTCCTGTCACCCAGTGAGGGGCTGTTCCTGGACACCCCTTTGCAAGCTCCCTTTGTGGCATCCACCCCATTGGTTTGAAGCAAAATTCCACTGTACCCAGAAATACCAGGGGTTGAGTCTGTTGTCTTCCTTTTTCCTTGTGTGTATGGGGGTGTCGCTGGCTAGGCAAGCACTCACCACTGAGCCCAGTCCTGCAAGTTAACCCTTCCTGAGCAACACAAACTCTGACGCACAAGCTGTGTAGCCATCTCCTGCCCGCTCAGACATTCCTTCCCGGCTCAGGACACCTAGGCCACTTAAAAGGCTCTGATGCTTGCTATGAATTTGACCACATTATTCTTAAAGCTGCTGCCACAGGGACACAGTGCTGAAGAAGGCCAAAGGCAGGGACATTGCCGTGCCCTGCCGTGCCCTACCAACAGTGAAGGGCTGTCCTTCACGTCACACCAGGAAAACCCGCAAAGCACCCAACAGGTAAGTGCATACAGGCCTACACACCCACCCCTCCAATGAGCCTGTGAGGGAGCTGCCAC